GGGTAATTTGCTCCCCAGGCCACTCTCCCTTTCGGGCATCACTTTCCTCCTACCCAGTGGGTGCTTCCTGTGGTCTCCTCTCAAATGAATGACTTGCTTTCAAATCCTTGTCTCAGGGTCTGCTTCCGAGAAAACCCCAGCACACAGCAAGAAGGCTCTCCTTGGATTCTACAGACCCACCACCCATTTCTTCGCCTTTGAGCAAAGCTACAGAGCAGGAGACGTTCTACCCCACACACCTCCATGTCCTGACTTACCACCTAAGTCACACTCCACATCTTCTTGAAGAAGTATTCCTTTGTTCTACAGACCTAGCAGAACCCCTGGGCTTGGGCCAGAGCGGTGAACCCAGCTGGCAAGCCTCACTGGATTGGGAGCTTATGGTAAAGAGATTACGACCTCCCTGTCTGCTTGCCCCTCACCTGACAGTCGTGTCTTACATGGCTGCATCTTTACTGACCTACTGGCTTCTCTAGAAAGTGCCTGTATCTTATTTATATCTCTTCCTCTGGGGCTTGCCCATAGCAGACTCAATCCACAGCCATTGTATTGACTTAGAGAAAACACCCAGTTTGTATAGTGAAGATGGGTAAAAAATGCTATAAATTTTAACTTGGTTTAAAATAGTCTCTTGGCTAGTACCCATTTCATGTCATTACTATTGGGGCAGAAGAAGAAAAATTTAATTATTTGGACTAGTGAACTTTTACCAGTGGGACTGGATTCCTCCAGTGAAATTCAATCATAGAGCAATAGAGTGATAATCCAAGTGGCCGTGATTATCCTCTACTCCCAACTTTCAACAGGCTTAGTATAGAGTTGTTGAATTAGATCAACACTAACAACTTACATTTATATATCCATTTACAGTTTTCCAAGTATTTTATTCTCAGTTTAACAGAAAGATACTGGACTACAAGCATACGCTGTTTCTTCTCTTAACATACAAAATAACCAAGCTTTGAAAATAATTCTGGTTTTAAAAACATTTTGCCTGGTTTGATTATAAGGTAATTTTTTCGAAGAGCCTCGGGTAGAGTTTTCTGTTCTCACTGAAAATAAATTTGTAATCAAAAGGAGTTTTTTCAACATAGAACATGTCTGTTTATTTTAACCTTTAATGAATTTCCAAGACATCTCTGAGGCAGATGTTGCTACATCCCCCTTCAGGGTGACACCTTCATGTCCCTGGTGAGCTGCAGCTGTCTGTACCCACACCTTTGCCCAGGGCTTTTCCCCAGGCTGTGGGGAGGTAGGAAAATCTTTTGGGATAAGCCTTCAACCAATGACTGATGCAGTTGGCATATAAATACCCCAGCTTCTTGAGGCATCACATCCCAAGGGGAATCACTCTGGCTCACATATTCCATGCTGTCTCCCGGAGTTCCCCAGTGGAATAAAGCCTTAGTGCCCATACTGCTGTCTTATTTGATAACTGCCCCATTTGCAAAATGCCTTTCCTTCCCAGATTCATTCCCTCTCCTTTACCCTTGCTTCCTGGAATCACCTTCCAAATAACCTACTTGTACTCAAACTCTTGCTTCAGAGTCTGCTTCTAGGGAAACCCAAGCAAAGATTCCAATAAGTACCTCTCTCTCAAAGGGCACCAGCCCATCTCATCCCCCTGAGCCATTAGGTTACTTAACAAGGTGTGAAGCTGCCCATTAATTCTCTGATCAAACACTTTTTCAGCCTATCAATGTCTACTGGTTTCATTGCTCTCCTGGGCTGGTCTGCTCTATTTGCTGTTCTCATTGTGTTAATGATAGTGTAAAATTTTTAATTGAAAATAAAGAAGATGAATGTGGTTAGTAGCTCCTAAGCTGTCACTCTGAACTCTACCCAGGGTGAGAGAGACACTGTGCCTGTTAAAAACCAGCCAGTTTGGGCTCTCTGCTGAGGAATCAAGCATGAGATATTTAGATGTTCAGCTTTCTCATCTATACCAGAGGCAGGACATTTTCACAGCCATAGGTAAATCTATGTAATTTCATTTTCAGGTTCCACTGAAGACTCAGACTTTGCTCTGACTAAAAGTTATCAAGACGTGCAGTTTTGTACAGAAATCACATTTCCTGTTCAATTCTTAGGTCTCGTCTAGTTTAAGTTCAGCATAGACATTGTTATCTCTTCAATAACATCGTACCGTCAATCTTCCTTCTGAATATTTTCAGGTATGAATATTGTGTTACTTTCAATTATTTACTAATTTTAATCACTATGCAGTTCTTCCTTTGACTGAATTAAAATCTTCCTTCTGTGGTTACCACCCATTGGTGGGAATTTTCTTGGGAAAAATTACTGAACAGTGGAATGCTTCGTTCTACAAGGAGAATTTGAAATATTTGAAAACACACTCAATGTGCTTTTTTTTTTTTTCAGGAAAAGCTTTCTCAGTTCTTTCAGCTCTCCTTAGCATGGCATGACTTGGAGTCCACCCATGTCATCATCGGCCGTCTCATCTCCCTCTTACAGTGAAATACCCATTGGGAATGACTGAATCATTCAGCAGTTGGAGATATAAATTACAATGTGAGCTAATGTCATGTAGCTGTTAAAATTATGTTTTGAAGAATATTTAATACCATAAAAAGTTCATGGCATATCAAGCCGAAGGAAAGAAAATGCAATAAAAGCCTGATTTCATTAAAAATAGACACATAGAAATGAAAGGCAAAATATTAAGAATGGTGGTATTATGTTTTGAATCTGTTTCATGCTTTTCCAAATTTTTTGACAGAGAACATGCGTTTATTTTTTAATCCAAAAAAATGTTCTTAAGAAAGAAAAGAAGAAAAAGAACCTGAGACTCACAGAACTGATAAAGTTCTTCAGGTATATTCTGGTACTGCAGATTTCAGAGGAGCTGGCACAGCTCAGTTTGGAGGCTTCAAGTTCCAATTTCAGATGAAAGTATTGGCAGATGAATCACACCATCCACTAACATTGTACCTGCAGCTCACCAGAACCCCAGAGGATTCTTGCTCCAAAGGAATGACTACCTTTCTTGAATCTGGCAGCTGGAGTTGGAAGACGCCTGACAGGAACTGCCTGGGCTAGGCAGGGAGAAGGGAAGGATACCGAGGTAGGTCTCCATGTCTTAGGTATTTGAGGGGTTATGCTATGCACAGGAGACAGGCCATATGCCCTCACCTTTCCAGCCTGACAGGTGCCACACCACCTTGAAGTCCTCCAAGTGGCAAGATGATTGTTTCCCCAAGGATCGTTTGGGAAAGTGAGCAGAACCCCACATGGCTGCCCTGTGAGGCACTGGGTCCTGGAGAGGGAGGAGACTGTGGAGAACATCAATGCCTCTGTCTGCAGAGGGTGGAGTAGGGGCAGCCCACAGAGGCAGAACCACTGACCCTGAAGGCCATTATCCCTGCCACACTTTCTTTCTGTAAGAAATGGCCTCAGATACATTAGAGCCTTGGAGAAAATGCAATGCAGCACTTCTCAGTCCCCTGCCTGACACATCTCCAGGGCCCTGCAGTTAGGGAGGAGGCAGTAGGGGAGTCAGCCAAAGTCAGGAAGAGGCAGCAAGTACTGTGTCCAGGGCAGTCCTTTAAGGAAGTGCATGAACAGCCTAGCTCCACTCATGTGTTCAGTAGGGAAAGCACCATGGGGAGACAGGGAGAAGGGCTGTTTCCTTAGACGCCACACACAGGACTGCTGGGCACAGGCAGTTTACAAGGGTTTTCTCCATAGACATGGATTGTTATTATTGCAGGGAATAAAACTTTGGTTTAATTTCTGTCATTTCTCTCTGGGGCCACACTGACTGGACTGTGCCAATGGTTCATTTAATATGTTTTTCCTAATATGAAAAAAGGTCCTCCTCTCAATTTATACTCTTCTAGATTTATAAGATTGGTTTGATACCCTGTTTCCTGTTGCCCAGTGCACAGAACACATGCAATAGTGGCACTTTCTTTGTACAATGTAGATTCACACGCCTTCCAGGACAAATGACCCCAACTGGTGACCCCTAAACACTTTTTGCTGGGTAAACATCCTTTCTCTTATGCAAGCCCTTGTTCTTCTAAATATGAGTTTCTTCAATGACTCAGATAACATGTATTACACCTAGAACTGGAGGTCTCGGAAGTATATCTTGGAAATAGCTTGGATAATTTTAAGTGAATGCACAAATGCTTGAATCTTATACTCCTTGGGGTTAAAATAAAGTGATTGATTCTGTGTAAAGGGCTTGTGGATTTCATCAGGAAAGCAGTGTGTGACTTGCTGAGCCAAAAATTAGAGTGTGTGGTTCTAGCCCAGCAGGGCTTTCAGTGACTCTGTGCTAACATTGCTTATTTGTCAAGGGACACTAAATGCTCAGTGTTGGGGGGGAGTCAGTGGAGTGGTCATAAGTGGCACAAATCATCAAAAAATACAACGCTCTTACTTTCATAAGGCTGGGGCTGCAATGTACATCACTGCAGTTTTTGGTTTTCTGCCTTTGGTTTTGTCCAACAAAAACCCAAATGGCTCATTTCCACCCTTCAATTCAATATCATCAGCTAGAGTTGATTTAAACCTTGCCAAGTGTCTCTCTTCTTGCCCCTCCTGTACCTACTTTCTTGGCACTCTGTTATTTCAGACTTCAGGTTTCTTTCTTCTTTCAAAGCCACTGCCTTTGCCTGCTGCCAGGCTGCATGCCTTGTCCATTTGCCTGTGGCCTAAGCTGTGGCTCCAATAGGATGGACAGTTCCAGTGTGGCTGTCCAAGTGGGTGTCCATGTGTGTGTATGCATGTGTGCCTGTTAGCATTCATGCACGGGCATCTTTCATGCATATGCATGTGTGTGTATGTTCCTGTGCATGTGTGTTTCTCCATGTGTGCATGCATATGTTCCTGTGGGTGTACTCCTGTGTGTGTGTGCATATTCCTGTGTACTTGCATGCATGTGTGTAGACACGTACATGTTCCTAATAGCCAGGGGCACCAAGACAATTAAGATGCATCTGTTTCCCTATCAAAGTTGGTTTTATACTTACATAGTTGTAGGCCGAGTCTGGGTGGAGATAGTCAATTCCTGTGAAAAGACAACAATAACACAGGAAGCACTGGCTGATACCTGCTACTGTGTCCTCAGGAAAGCTGCCCAAGAAAGTGCCCTCTTTAAGGAGCTGGTGCCAGAAGGCTTGCCATGGGGGTGAGTGCCCCATCACAAAGCTCCCAGCCTTGCACCTGCCTTCCATGTGGAGGTGTGAAGGTGGGCTACACTGCAAGAGTGGAGAGACAGCCACCCCAGACACACTTGAGAGTGAAGCCAATTAGAGTCTGAGGCCCAAGGATAACACCTGTGACATAAATGTCAGCACTAAGGGGCTTCATGACAGCGAGATGGATGGCTCATCAGAGCACTGATCTAAAAGAAATTTGTAGAAATCTTGACATTTTTAAAGCATCAACTGGCATTTCTCTGAAATGAAACTTGCCCTGGGGAGGAAAAGTGATTATTATTTAACAGGGCATGGACAGCAATGGATTAGGAGAACGTACTCTGCCATGGAAATAATAAGAGAACATGGCCAGGTGAGAAAAGCCATTAGGCAAAGGCAAATGGTTTCCAGCGAGGTGTTGCTGGTTGGGAGCTGAAGCTTGTCTCCTCAGAATGTGGCTTTCTAGGAAGCCTGAGGCTTGATGTCTCAGCAGGAGTCCTGCTTTTTCCTGAATGGTGGCCTGTTCTGTTGCCTCATTCCAAGGGTAAAATCATGGGCTATGAGCACTGCTGAGTTTCAGCAGACACTTGGACCTCCGAAAGCATCATGAAACTTCAAGGACAATTGAAAAGCTCTCATTTGGGTTTGCATAACCATATAATCTTTGCAACAGTTACACCTGAGCATCTCGACCTCCAAGAAACAGGAAGGTTCTTGATACCATCTAGCATAAAGGTTACAAATGTAGATTTTTGGAGTCAAAGACAGGTCTTTGAGTTCCAACCACCCCAATAACTGCCTGCAAGGCTTTGGGCAAGTTGCTTGGACTTTCTGTGCCAGTTTTCCTTTTAGCCCAGCCCGGGGTGAGAAGTGTAGGGATTAAAGAAATGAATGCAAGTGGTGTGATCGGCCCAGCAGCTGGTGCATTAATAACTATATAGGGATGCAATACCTAAAAGCCAGAAGTATCAGTAAATTCTTCCCAAAGCTGCTATCTTCACTGCATGCTTACTAAAGCTGGGCCAACATTAGAGATTTGCCTTCCAATAAAAGAGCTGGAATTAGGATGCATATTTCTAAAAAGAATTTTTCCTTTGTTTTTTTTGGAGGGGTATACAATTAGTAATTGGACTGAGAGTCACTGGTCTACAGTACATGTGTTAGGTTTTACTGTTGATATTTTGATGAGTGAAGCAATTGCTGTCACTATGGCTGCCTCCTCTAGCTTGAAACTATAGTCCCCATGCTAAATCATTACACCTTCTCTTCCCACTTGCCTCCCGAGGTCTTCAGAGGGAAAAGAATCAGAATATTTAAAGACTAATGTTTTTAAAAATTGTTAACAGCCCTTGCTCTGGATCCTAATTCAAATATGATCAATTTTGGCCAGGCAAGGTGGCTCATGCCTGTAATCCCAGTGCTTTGGGAGACTGAGGAAGAAGAATTGCTTGAAGCCAGGAGTTCAAGACCAGCCTGGGCAACAGTGAGACCCTGTTTCTACAAAAAATAAGAAAATTAGCTGGGTGTGCTGTCTTGCACCTGTAGTCCCAGCTACTCGGGGGGCTGATTTGGGGTATTACTTGAACCCAGGAGAGGACTGAGGCTGCAGAGAGCTATGATTATACCACTGCACACTACCCTGGGAGGCACAGCAAGACCTTGTCTCTAAACGGAAACAAACAAATCTCAGAAAGCAAACCGAAAACCCCACCCTGCTGCCAAAATGGTCAGTTTAGGCTGTGAGGTGATGCTGAGGATGAGCATAGGCTTTGAGATCAGTGGATCCAGTTCCACTCCAGGTTCAGACACTGTAACATCTGTGTGGCTTTAGCCCAGTGACATAATCTCTCTGAGCTTTGGTTTCCATGTATTTGAAATGGGACTATTATTTACTTTGCAAAGCAGTTTTCAAGATTAGAGGCAATTCATTGAAAGTCTTCAGCTCATAGTAAACACTTATACATTTTATTTCTTATTATCATTTGTGCTATGATGTACCACATCGCTGGAGTAATGTGGATACACAGAATAACAGAACATTAAAAAAAATCTGCTTGGTTTTAGCATATTGTGTTGAAGTTAAATTGCATCTATTTGTTAAGATAGGTTAAATTTTGTGAACTCAGGTGGAAAATTTTGATAATTTATATTTAAATACAAATTATAAAAAAGATAATTTATATTTTGATTATTTATGTTTTAAAATACATTCTCTCTGTGAATCTTTTTTATCTATATAAGTTTAAAAGAAGACACAAAGAGAGAATACCTATTTTCCAACAGAAAGTCAATTTTTTTTTATTGCATTTTAGGTTTTGGGGTACATGTGCAGAGCATGCAATACAGTTGCATAGGTACACACATGGCAGTGTGTTTTGTTTGCTTTCTCACCTTCACCCACATTTGGTATTTCTCCCCTGGCAATCCCTCCCCACCTCCCCCTCCCACTGGCCCTCCCCTTTCCCCCCTATAGACCCCAGTGTTTAGTACTCCCCTCTCTGTGTCCATGTGTTCTCATTTTTCATCACCCGCCTATGAGTGAGAATATGCGGTGTTTCATTTTCTGTTCTTGTGTCAGTTTGCTGAGAATGAGGTTCTCCAGATTATCCATGTCCCTACTAATGACACGAACTCATCATTTCTGATTGCTGCATAATATTCCATGGTGTATATGTGCCACATTTTCCCAATCCAGTCTATCATCGATGGGCATTTGGGTTGATTCCAGGTCTTTGCTATTGTAAACAGTGCTGCAGTGAACATTCGTGTGCATGTGTCCTTGTAGTAGAATGATTTATAGTCCTTTGGATATATACCCATTAATGGGATTGCTGGGTCAAATGGGATTTCTATTTCTAAGGCCTTGAGGAATCGCCACACCGTCTTCCACAATGGTTGGACTAATTTACACTTCCACCAACAGTGTAAAAGTGTTCCTTTTTCTCCACATCCTCTCCAGCATCTGTTGTCTCCAGAGTTTTTAATGATCGCGATTCTAACTGGCGTGAGATGGTATCTCAATGTGGTTTTGATTTGCATCTCTCTGATGACCAGTGACGATGAGCATTTTTTCATATGATTGTTGGCTTCATATATGTCTTCTTTCGTAAAGTGTCTGTTCATATCCTTTGCCCAATTTTGAATGGGCTTGTTTGTTTTTTTCCTGTAAATCTGTTTGAGTTCTTTGTAAATTCTGGATATCAGCCCTTTGTCAGATGGGTAAACTGCAAAAATTTTTTCCCATTCTGTTGGTTGCCGATTCACACTAGAGACTGTTTCTTTGCTGTGCAGAAGCTGTGGAGTTTGATTAGGTCCCATTTGTCTATTTTGGCTTTTGTTGCCAATGTTTTGGTGTTTTGTTCATGAAGTCCTTGCCTACTCCTATGTCCTGGATGGTTTTGCCCAGATTTCCTTCTAGGGTTTTTATGGTGCCGGGTTTTTTGTTTAAGTCTTTAATCCATCTGGAGTTAATTTTGGTGTAAGGTGTCAGGAAGGGGTCCAGTTTCTGCTTTCTACACATGGCTAGCCAGTTTTCCCAGCACCATTTGTTAAACAGGGAATCCTTTCCCCATTGCTTGTTTTTGTCAGGTTTATCAAAGATTGTATGGTTGTAGCTATGTTGTGTTGCCTCTGATGCCTCTGTTCTGTTCCATTGATCTATATCTCTGTTTGATACCAGTACCATGCTGTTTTGATTACTGTAGCCTTATAGTATAGTTTGAAATCCGGTAGTGTGATGCCCCCCGCTGTGTTCTTTTTGCTTAGAATTGACTTGGCTATGCGGGCTCTCTTTTGGTTCCATATGAAGTTCAAGGTGGTTTTTTCCAGTTCTGTGAAGAAAGTCAATGATAGCTTGATGGGGATAGCATTGATTCTGTAAATTACTTTGGGCAGTATAGCCATTTAAATGATATTAATTCTTCCTAACCATGAACATGGAATGTTTCTCCATCTGTTTGTGTCCTCTCTGATTTCGTTGAGCAGTGGTTTGTAGTTTTCCCTGAAGAGGTCCCTTACGTTCCTTGGGAGTTGTATTCCAAGGTATTTTAGTCTGTTTTGTAGCAATTGTAAATGGCAGTTCATTCTTGATTTGGCTCAATTTAAGTCTGTTATTGGTGGAGAGGAAGGCTTGTGATTTTTTCACATTGATTTTATATCCTGAGACTTTGCTGAAGTTGCTTATCACTTTCAGGAGTTTTTGGGCTGAGGCGATGGGGTCTTCTAGGTATACTATCATGTCGTCTGCAAATAGAGACAATTTGGCTTCCACCTTTTCTATTTGAATACCCTTTATTTCTTTTTCTTGCCTGATTGCTCTGGCTAGAAATTCCAGTACTATATTGAATAGGAGTGGTGACAGAGGGCATCCTTGTCTAGTGCTGGATTTCAAAGGGAATGTTTCCAGTTTTTGCCCATTCAGTATGATATTGGCTGTTGGTTTGTCATAAATAGCTTTTATTACTTTGAGATACGTTCCATCAATACCGAGTTTATTGAGGGTTTTTAGCATAAAGGGCGGTTGAATTTTGTCAAATGCCTTCTCTGCATCAATTGAGATAATCATGTGGTTTTTGTTTTTGGTTCTGTTTATGTGGTGAATTACGTTTATAGACTTGCGTATGTTGAACCAGCCTTGCATCCCCGGGATGAATCCTACTTGATCATGATGAATAAGTTTTTTGATTTGCTGTTGCAATCAGCTTGCCAATATTTTATTGAAGATTTTTGCATCTATGTTCATCATGGATATTGGCCTGAAGTTTTCTTTTCTTGTTGGGTCTCTGCCGGGTTTTGGTATCAGGATGATACTGGTCTCGTAGAATGATTTGGGTAGGATTCTTTCTTTTTGGATTATTTGGAATAGTTTCAG